AATACTTTTATCATATCAAATCTAATTCAACAATGAATACTTTAAGAATAATAGAAATTAATGTTTTTGATTGTTTGTATGGAAAAAGTTGGTTAAGCTACTTTTTATTTGAATAAGGAATATTTTTTCGATATTTCAGAGTAATAACTTAAACTAAATACGAATTGTAATCATTTGACGTATCGTTGAAATAGTAGGTTTAGTGAGGGTTGGGAAAATAAATCGTAGCCACAAAAAGAACCACCACATATTAAAATAATATTAACATGAATATAAATTTCTTCTCACGAGGGGAGACTATAGTGATAGGATTCTTTAAATTTATTGATGTTATTGAACCTAAATGAGATAAATATTAAATTATTTGAAAATTTTATTCTAACTCAAAAAAAATTCAAAATATAAATTGCCACAAACGAATTTGAAACTCGTACACCGTTAGCATGAAAGATACAAGTGTTACTGAAACTGTTCGTTGCTTTCGTCACATGATAAAATTGCCTATTTAAGGTAACTCAAATTTAAAAATTACTTTTTCGACTTTAAAAAAGCAAAAAAAATTAATAAATTTAATTTCTTATGTCTTATGAACTTTATTCTATGTCAATTAAATTATAAAATATTCATGAAAGTCAGTGTATTGCCCATATAAGATATTTTAAAATAAAGTAAAATACAAAACCCAGGATTTTAACACAAAAATAGCATATTTTTGAATACGGTAGCCATTTACGCATAGATGATAGGTCATCGGGACCAATTTTTTTTTTAATTTTATAGTACATGACATAAGCTTTAATTTGACATATGTTTCAAGGACGCAGTATTTCCGGAACATTTTCAAAAATTAAGTTGAAAAAGTTCTATGTTTTATAAAATGTTTCAAGTTTTGAACGCCCCCTATATATGGAGAAATTGTCCAATTTCAATAAAAAGTATGTCAAATGAAAGATGTACTTATAATGTATTTAGAAGAAAAAAAATTTGTGCTGATAATTACATTTTTCGAAATGTTATAGCATTTTTAAGTTGAAAATTTAAAATCAGAAATTTTAACACAAAAATAGCGTTTTTTTAACTACGGCAGCCGTTTACATGCAGAAGATAAAGTGTCGGGACAAATTTTTTTTTTCATTTTGTAGTACATAAAATAACCTTTAATTTGATATATGTTTAAAGGACATAGTATTTCCGGAACATTTTTAAAAATTAAGTTGAAAAAGTTAGTTTTTGTAAAAAAGTTGCTATTTTAAATCCCCTTTGTGAGCAGAATAAGTATTAGATTTTCAAAAAAAAAATGATATCAAATGAAAGGGAAATATCTAAGGTTTTAGTGTAAAAAAAAATTATGTTGAAAAAGTTATGGAAGTTTAAAAAAAAAAGTGAAAAAAAATGACAAAATTTACCGATTTTTAAATTTGTAATTTTTTTGGATATCTCCTCTATTTGCGGGGAATGAGGGAAAATTTTTCAATTTTTAAGGGTAATGTCTGCGACTAGATACGATTTGTGATCTTTTGACGTATCATTGAAAGACATCGTTTGGGTGAGAGCTGAGAAAAAGTGGTAACAGACACAAAAAAAAAACACATCATAGTAAAACCAATACCTTCTCAGCTTTGCATCGAAACTAATAAAATAATGATGTGAACATAAGCTGATTTAATTTTTCAACTTTTAAGCTATTTAAAATAATTTATATATAAATACTAATAACAAAATAAGTTATAAATAATTTTGAAAATAAATATAAATTATAAACAATGTAAGATTTGAGGAGCACTGGCGTTATTTATAATATTTGCATTGTTTGAAACACTATTCGAAAAAGTTTTAGATTTATTAACAATGTTATTCTTAAATATAAAAGTGGCATCGTTGTACGAAATGTTTTCAACAGCCATGATTTTTTTAATCTCCTTTTGACGGGACCATTTAGGACATGAGCGATCTGTAGCCTCATGGGATCCTTTGCAATGTAAGCATGATGGGGTAGAGTTGTCTTTAATAGGGCAATCGGTGGCAATATGATCGTTAGCACCACAACAGGCACACCGTGCCTTACTTCTGCAAAATTTGGCTGTGTGTCCGTAGCGAAGACACTTATTACAGATAACAGGCGAACGGATGCTAGGAGAAACCGTGAATATGACTTTAAATATTGATATTTTTTCTGGTAGTTTTGAAGAAAGGAACTTGAGTTCTACTAAATTAGTTTGGGTTGGGGTATTAGAATTACGTTTTGTAAATATGTGACGAAAACCACTAATAGGAACCGGCGATTCGATACCTTCCCAAAATTCCTCCTCTGTTGTTGAGGTATCCAGGCGGATGATACCGTGAGAGTAAATTAGAGTAGACGGGATTGAAGCTTTTACGTTCATACCAGGGAGAAGGTTAGAATTAAGGCAAGCATTGGCAGATTTGATAGAATCAAATAAAACTTTAACTCTGGATCCAATGGGAGTTATTTGTTTTATACCGCCGAATTTGTTGTGGAAAAGTTTCCCAATTTTTAGCGGGTGTAATTTGCCGATACTTTGGTCGCTAACCGTGGATTCAACGAGAATT